CGCGCGCGCCTGCACTCATACCCAGGGGCATACCCACATTCCTGTACGCATACCCACCCACACGGGCATTTCTTCACACATGTATCCACCACACTTCTGCACACTCACATATACAGGCACTCCTTCACACCCACACGCACTTCTGGACACTCACATACACCTGCACTCACACCTGCGGGCACTTCTCCACACACTTGTGCTCACAGACACACAGGACAGTCACGCACACCACCCACACACCCACACCCATTCTCTCTCCTGTAGTCACACAAACGCTCACACTCATGGGCACACATACTCCTGCATTCACACTCACAGGCACACGGGGAACTCCGACATCACACACATACTCTTGCATGAACACACACACCATGGCACACATACACGAGCACAAGGCACACTCTTGACTCACACGCACACTCACACACATGCCACTGCACTCACACACACACGGCACTCACAGTCACACACGCACACACACTCCTGCACGCATATGCACACACACACACACTGATACACACACGTCTGCACTCAGGCACATAGGCACACAGAAACTCCTGCACTCACACAGTCAAGCAGGTACATACACTTACACGTGTGCCTTTATCACAGACATGAACACACTCACACTTACTCCTACACTCCCACTTGTGTACCTATACACGGACACTCCTGGTCTCACACATAGGCACACATTCACACCCTTGAGCTCATACATGGACACACATACTCACACCCAAGGGCCCATGCATCCTCCTCACGTACACACCCTCACATGTTCCCGTGCACACACTCCCACCAGGCCTGGCCCCAGGCACTCATGCTAGTGGCTTCCTGGGGTTTTCTTCAGCCAGGTGCTGTCCTGGGGGTGGGAAGTGGAGTGTGAGACAGCAGTGACCACCTGACCCCCCCTTGCCACACAGCTCAGGGACACAAGGCAGGGCCACCCCGAGGGCTGAGGGCCCACTGGCCTCTGCGGTGCTGCCCCCAGACTGCCCAGCAACCTCCTCCATTTCATTCTTTCACCTCAGCCATCCACTGCCCCGGGCCTGTCCACTCACTGCCCATCCACGACCCCCAGAGGGGCAGCGGGCCACCTACTCCTGCCCCTGCTGGCAGGCCTCCCACCTTGAGGCTCACGAGGCTGAGCCAGGCCAGAGTCCGCCAGGTCCACTGTCCCCCCCGACCCCCTCCAGTCCAGAGACCGCTGTCCTAAAGCCTCCTCCCATATCCAGTCTGGGCCCAGGAAACACCCCCTTCCTGGGCCACCTGCTCCTCCCCATGTCGCGCCACCACCCAGGTTCCTGGTATCGCAGGTTTCCCGTGGGGTTACCCAGACAGCTGCCAGGGGAAGGCGCACTGGGAAGAAAGGCCTGGCGGTCGACTTCTGAGACCCGGGCAATGAAAACCACACAGACGACACCAATCCAGTGCTGGGGTGGGTGGGCGGGGGACGCCCCAACGTTGGACGGCACCCAGATCCTACAGTAGCTGTGGCCACGGGCCGGGGCAGAGGGCGGTGCAGGACTGGGCAGTGCCCCGTTCCATCAGGCGTGGGGTGGTGAAATCACACACCTTGAGCAGTTCTCCATGGCGGGCCGGAGCCCACACCACATATTCCTCAGCACAACCTGCCCCTGCCCCGCTCCCGTCCCCCCGCCCCATATTGGTGTTTCACGCACCATCCCCTCCGAGGGGCAGCCATTCCCAAGGCCTGGCCTCAACCTTTTTCTCCTGTGCAGTGTCCTGCCAGACCCTCCTCTTCCACAGCACCCTGGGTGTCCCCTTCTCCCTCCTGACGATGCTCCTCCCCCTTGCCCCAACACTAGTTACATGACAGTGATGGCTAAATATGTCCCGCCCTGCTTGTCCTGGGGTGGGGGTGGGGCATGGGGCAAGAGAATTCTGAGAGCATGGGCCGGCCTTTAAAACCATTTCCCCGTGTGATCACGAGGTGTTGAACGGATCACTGAAGACAAATGGGTGCATAAGCAAATGTGGCGAAGAAATCTGATGGTGCCCGGCTATCAAAAAGTATAGCGTCTGGGGTCTTAAAGGCTTGAAGGTAATCAAGCGGCCATCAAGCTCAGAA